AAGTAACGACGGTTACAGGTTCGAGGATGACCCGCTCGGATTAAAAACATTAAGTGCGGGCCCCATAGGGAGAGGGCTCCCGCCTGAGACTTCCTCGGAATTCGCTCACAGACGAGCCTCCCGCCTGAGACTTCCCCCATATTCAAGCTAGCGAATGAGTGAGTGAGTGAGTGAGTGAGTGAGTGAGTGAATGACTGAATGAGTGATGATGATGATGATGATGAAGATGATGATGATGATGATGATGATGATGATGATGATTATGATGATGAAGATGATGATGATAATGATGATGTTGATGATGATGATGATGATGAGGAGGAGGAGGAGGAGGAGGAGGATGAGGATGAGGATGAGGATGAGGATGATGATGATGGTGACGATGAGGATGAGGATGATGATGATGATGATAAAGATGATGATGATGATGATGATGATGATGATGATGATGATGATGATGATGATGATGATGATGATGCTGAGGATGATGCAGATGATGAGTGAGTGGGTGAGTGAGTATGTGATCGAGTGATGGTCAAGGTGATCAAGATGGTCTGTGTGTGACTGAATGTGAGTGTGAGCGAGTGTGTGTTCCTGTGTGTTCTTGCGCGGGGTGTCCAGAGAAAACAAGAACCCCACTTTGGAAGTGGGGCAAAAGAGGCAACAGAAGTGCAAAAATTGTCAAGCACGGTCGAAACATCGTCAACAAACTATATGTGCTCGCTGCCTTTGAACACGCCTCCTGTAAAGGGACATGCCCCACTGAACCACAAGTGCTGGATCGGGAGCGGCCAAGAGGGGGGTGTCCAAGAGAGGGGGGGGGTGCAAATCATGACCGGCGGCACGTGCGCGGCCCAGCGGGGGGGCCAGGGACGTAATGAAACAAGAAGAGGCGCCATGACATCTGGGGAAATATCATGGCCCCCGCCGTGAGATCCACCGCCCCCTCGTCACCACCCCCCTCTTTTCCGCCCCCGGTGTTGGGAGACCTGGACCCTGGAAGCACATCCAGGAGCATCGAGCATCGACGCCCCAGGGGCGAGGGGCCTCGCTCCTCGGGCCTGGAGCCGCGGGGCTCGCACCTCGCCATGAGATCCACCCCCCCCTTAGTCATCACCCCTGAAGGGGAACTGGAACACACAAATAAATGCACACAAATAAAAATATCCCCCATATTTTCCCATATTTTCTGGGTTTTTGTCTTCCCCACCACTTCCCATATTTTTGCATATTTTCCTGGGAGTCGACGATTAATTGTGTCTGTGTGTTTCTCTCCCTCCTGAACCCCCCCTTTGCCGCGCGGCCCTCTGGAGCCCGAGCCGGAAGCCCCCCGTCCACCGGGCGCGGCGAGCACGCCGGGGAGCGCGGGCGCCGCCCCAGGGCGCAGCTCCCCGCTCGGCCCTCCGAGGGGCTCGCGGCAGCTGCTCCGCTGTGCTCCTCGTCGTGCGCCGAGACGCGTCGATCCCCTGGAGACAGGGGCTCCCAACTTCGCGCTCCGCGCTGCGCGGAGCGCGAAGCGCGAACAACGTCGCGCTCTCGCGCCGCCTCCCAGGGGAGGAGAGGAGGACGAGGAGGAATGGGAGCCGAACCGCGAAGCGCGAAGCGCGAATAACTTCGCGCCCTCGAGGGGGCGAGGTCGTTGTCACTGCTTCGCTGTGCTGCTCGACGTGCGTCAAGACAAGTCGATCCCTGGAAACCTCCCACATGGTCGACGGCAGGGCTGAACCGAAACGGTGTTTTTCGTTCTCGCGCTGTTCTCGATGTCCCGCGTTTGGGCCTCGACCCGCCTTTGCCGCAAAACGAGATCGAACCGAAGACGGCCCACGAAATCGCCAAAAACACCGTTCAGGCCCAGCCCTGGTGGACGCAGCGACCTCACGCCGCAGCTCACGCGGGCCGCCCGCACGGCACGCCCCAGCGGAGACGGGGGCGCTCGCGCGCGACCCCACGCGGGCAGCTTGCGTGACGGTGTCGGCGCAGACGACCCCGCTGTCCTGCGCCGCCCACGTCGGGCCAGAGCGGGGGAGGTCGGAAAAATCGGACCGCATCGCCGATACGTCGCAGGTGCATCGGCGACGTCAGGATGGAGGAGGCCGGGCTCCAGGTCATGCCGCATCGCCGCTGCAGCGGCGATGCGGCGCGGTCCTCCGACCCCATCCGTCGGAGGAGGGCCCACTGAGACTCCGGGGGCTCTCCCGCCCAGACCCCTCACGACGTGCTTCCAGCAGGCGGTGCTGGCAGCAGGTGGTGCTGGCAGCAGACCCCCCCTGCACAGGCAGGCTGGCATGCGCGCGCGAGCCCTTCGCTCTTCCCTCCCCTCTCGCTCGCCTCCCCCTCCCCCGGCGACGCGCTGGCCCAGCCTGCCGCGTACGGGCCGCGGGAGGTCCGCTGCGCATCAACTCCGTGACACTGATCTGCAGGTATCGCGCTGCTTCGCGGCTCGCTTCCCTCGTGTATGAAGGGGCCCTGGGACACACAAATAGATCGACACTGTTAACAGGATCCCCCTATTTTCCCATATGTTCTGGGTGTTTGTCTTCCCCCCCACTTCCCATATTCTCTCCTATTTTCTGGGGCATCGACGATGAATTGTGCCTCTGTGTGTTTTCTCTTTCCTGAAGTGTACTGGCCTTGTGGCCGATGACCTGGCCCCCATATTGGTTGGCGGCGCGCACACGGGGGTGGGGGGAGGGGGAGGGCTTCTTAGAAGCAGGCTGCTTCTTAGAAGGCGCCGGCCTTACATCTATAGATAAGGCGCGCGCCTTCTAAGAAGCAGGGGTGCTTCTAAGAAGCCCTCACCCCTCCCCCCACCCCCCTCTGCGCGTGGCTGAATTGGGAGACCTGGACCCTGGAAGCACATCCAAGAGCATCGATCATCGAGCCCCGGGGGCGAGGGGCCTCGCTCCTCGAGCCTCGAGCCTCGCGGCTTAAACCTCGCTCCTCGACCCTCGACCACCGAACCTCGAACCTCGAGCCTCGAGCCTCGAGCCTCGGGCCTCGACGAGATCGAGGACCCCCGATCCTCGAGCCTGGGTCTTCCCCGTCGGGGGCGCCCACGAGGGGGGCGGGGGCGCAGCCCGGGACCCGAGGCACGTGCGGGGACGAGGGGGGGGCGGGGGGTGGGGGGCCAGGAGGGCGTGCTGGCAGAAGGAAGGGAGCCACGAGGCCCGGCCAGACGTCACGGCTCCCGTCGCCGCCCTCTCGGCCGCCCCCCGCTCGATCCTCCACTCCCTCCTCCTCCTCCTCCTCCTCCTCCTCCTCCTCCTCCTCCTCCTCCTCCTCCTCCTCTCCCCTCCTCCTCCTCCTCCTCCTCCTCCCCTCCTCCTTTCAGCGAACCCTTTCAGTGAGGGCTCTGCAGCGCGCCGCCGCTGGCGCGCTGTAGCCCATCAACCTTCCCCTCCTTCCTCCTCCTCCTCCTCCTCCTCCTCCTCCTCCTCCTCCGCCTCCTCCTCATCCTCCTCCTCCTCCTCCTCCCCAGACCACTCCAGGAAAGCGCCCCGACCAGAACTTCGAGGCGAGGGCAAATCCAGCCGCGACGAGGTGAGGAAACGGCAGCGGCATCGGTGCCCTGTCCTCTCCTGGCATCCAGACCCTCGATCCTGTGATTGTAAGATGACGAGTAATACAAGAATGTGGGGGGGAACGAGTAACAGAACAATGTGTGAATATTCGGCTTCCGCTTCGCTTCGGCTCCGTGTGGCACGTCGACTGTCCAGGCACGCGCCCGACGAGGGCGAGAGGGAACGATCAAAAAGCAGTCTCCAGACCGGGGGCCCGTTGTTCTAATCATCCTGGGCGCCGAGGCGCGAACATGACCCCTGGCAATCTCTGCATCGTTCTCCTGCCTTACCATGAGCAAGGATGGGGTCCTCATTGACACGTCATGGGAGAACACGGAGATGCCGACACCGCTGCTTTCCCCAGACCCATCCAGGAGTGCGCTCTGGCCGGGATGTGGAGGCGAGTCCAGCCGCGACGGCGAATGGGAAGGACAGCGGCAACATCAGGTCGGGCATGGGGCATGTCCTCCTACAGGCGGATGTTGGAAGACATATGGAAAAAAATCAAAGAGCTCTCAAACCAAATCAAAACCAGTCGAAAGAAAAATCAAAAACAAAAATCAAAATCATGGCCGCATGCCCAACTTAACAGTACCACACAGCTTCGAAGGTCCGCGCAGAGTTCTTGGATCGGCGCCGGACCCCCCTCGCGGCGCCGGAGGCGCCGCCAGGGGACCGCGCGGAACTCCGAAAATTCATGTTCCTGTCGTGTCTTGTCCTTCCAAGGGCAGCGGCATCGGTATCGGTACCCGCGTCGCTTCTGGCGTCCAATTCCGACGAAGGCGTCTGCACACCACCACCGTGCCAGGCCAGGGCCATCCTGGTCCCTAGGATGGTGTATATAGACCCTCCTGGCCCTGGACCCCTGGGTCCTGGAAAGACTTCTCCCAGCAGGAGACGGCCCGCCGAAGTCGCCCCCGAAGCGAAGGGCCCCGCTGTTGGCACTGGTGGGCCTCAGGCCCCCTCCTCTCCTGGCGACCACGAGCCTTATGTTGCTCCCATCGTACTGAAGGACCACATCCCAGCAATCATTTCGGGCACCCGGAAAAGTGTCGAAAGAGTGTCGATACAGTGTCGAAACAGTGTCGGACGAGTGTATCCCAGGGCCCGACCCGAGAAAACCCTCGAGTTCGGGTACTTTTTTTCTCCTGGCGCTCGGCCTTCCTTCTGGCGATCCAGGCTGGAGCAGGTCGGAACATCATAACACGAGCCTCGATCGCCCCTGCCTTGACGAACCAACAATACACACCCATACCCATAGGGGGGTCGCAGAGGGCCATGGGTGCGTGTTGTCGAATGGGGGCCCCCGCTCGAACGGGAGCGTTCCCCAGGGTCCGACAACCCGCACCCAGACCCACAGCCAGTCCTCCTCCCGACGGCCCCCCTATGGGTAATGGGTGCGTGTTGTTCGTTCGTGATGCCTCGCGCCGCTGCGGGGTCCTGGCCCTGGGGCGCCGACCTGGCGGGCGTGCCCCGCCCGTGGGCCACGGCGGCGGGCGCGGAGAGCAGCCGGCCCACGGCGGTGCCCAGGAGGTCCCGGTCGTCGGCCCCGAAGCCGCCGCGCCGGGGCGGGGGCTCCTCGGGGGGCCGGGCGCGGCGGCGGCCCCGCGGCGGGGCGGGCCCGCGGCGGGGCCCCGCGGCGGGGCCCTCGGCGGGGCCCTCGGCCAGGGGCCCTCGGCCAGGGGCCCTCGGCCAGGGGCCCTCGGCCAGGGGCCCTCGGCCAGGGGCCCTCGGCCATGGGCCTCTGGAGGTCCCCAGAGCCTCCGAGGAGGTGATTCCTGAGGAGCGGACTGTCCACCACCAGTCCCAGAAGTAGGAGGACAGGGGGGAGGAGGAGGAGGAGGAGGAGGAGGAGGAGGAGGAGGAGGAGGAGGAGGAGGAGGAGGAGGAGGAGGAGGAGGAGGACCTCCCCATCCTCCCTTCTGCCCCGTCCTACCTATGGTAGGTAGTGGCGGCGGAAAGAAGGCCCGTCAGTTCTTGTTCAATCTGTGCGAGCTTCCTCGGTTTCGGCCTCTGGTGTCCCTGAGTGGGCGCCGGGCCAGCAAAAAAATCGACCCGGGACGAGGCGCAGGACCGGCCAGGACCGCCCGGGACCGCCCGGGTGGGTCCTCAGAAGCCCTCGAGAACCACACTTCTCAGAGCTGCACGAGCCTGGGGGCACTTCACTACGTGCTGAAGGCACGGTGGCGGATACATAACTATATACACACACATGTGTATACGTATAGATGTATATAAATATCTTCATGCGTGATTACATTATATATATATCTATGTATATATATATATATGTATCGAAGTCGGGGCCCTTGGGGCCAGCGGGTTGGAATTAACGGGCGCAGATATCTCTTCATGTGCATCTCAGTTGCTGGCACTCCCGTCGGTGAGCGAGAATCTTGGCATGTGGCGACTGAATGCTCCCTGGCGGCTGCCCCCTTTGGGGGTGCCGACAGGCCACGCCTGCTACGTCGCCGTGATCATGGGGCTCCTGACAACGCTTCTTGCGTCGGCGGCTGGGCAGAGTAACTGAGCTGGCGGAAGAGCTAGCTGAACGGGAGCACCGTTGTAGCGAACTGTGCCACAACGTAGGAAAGATGGAAAAAGGGGGCGGGGGCTTCTGAAAACACAGGAGTCGAGGTAAGCCTAGGGGAAGGGCCTGGGAGTAGGCCTTGGGGAGGCCTAAGGCAAGGGCCTTTGGGGTAGGCCTAGGGAAGGCCTAGGGGAAGGGCCCAGGAGTAAGCCTAGGAAAGGCCTAGGGGAACGGCCCAGGGGAAAGGCCTAGGGGTAGGCCTAGGATAGGCCTAGGGGAAGGGCCTGGGGATAGGCCTAGGGGAAAGGCCTACGGGAATGGGCCCAGGGGTAGGCCTAGGGTCTGGCCGCGAACGGGCAGGTGTGACGCCCCCTGTAGAACAGGCACCTCGCTCGAGGCACCCTCACGATCTGGTCGGAGAGCAGGAGGAGTCTGGGCCACCAAACAGGCAGAGCGCACGAGACAGCCCCACAATCTGGGCGCGAACGGGCAGGTGTGACACCCCCTGGCGACTCGCCCTGGGGGTGCTAAAACAGTCACCTCACCCAAGACTTCCTCACTACCTCCTACGGCAGCAGAGGAGGTCCTAGCCACCGGACACGCAAACCGCCTGAGACGTACCCCCCCCAATCTGGGCGCGCACGTGCGAGCGCGACGCCCCCTGGCGGCTCGACATGGCGGTCCTGACAAATGCCTCGCTGGTGAGGACCCGGGCCACCAAACACGCGAACCGCCTCCTCCTCCTCCTCCCCCCGCCCCTCCTCCCCCTCCTCCCCCTCCTCCACCCTCCTCCTCCTCCTCCTCCTCCTCCTCCTCCTCCTCCTCCTCCTCCTCCTCCTCCGCCTCCTCCTCCTCCGCCTGAGACATCCCTTCAATCTGGCCGCGAACGGGCGAAGTGTAACACACCCATTCTGGCCCTTCCTTGGGGCGCGTAAACAGGCGCCTCGCTCGAGGCCTCCCCACGATCTGCTCTGACTAAGCTGAGCGTTCTGGCTGGGAGCGAGTCTGAGTGCGAGCGAGACTAAGTAGAAGTGACCGGAGTGCGATGACAGGGAGAAGGCGGCGGGAGCGACGAGGCGCAGGCGTCCCAGTCAGAACAGGAATCCCGAGCGAAGGACATGCGGAAAAGAAGCACGTCGGAGGATGTCAGGGGAGGTCCCCGGAGATACCAGGTCGGAGGGGTCAGGGGAGGTCCCCGGAGATACCAGGTCGGAGGAGGAGGAGGAGGAGGAGGAGGAGGTGGAGGCCCCAGAGACATAACAAAGTGGCCTCGAGCCTCGATCCCCCGCCTCCTCCTCCGCGACCCTCCTCCTCCTCCCCCTCCAGGCACGGGGGGGGAGCGTCGCCAGAGGCGGCCCGCCCAGGGGCGGTCTCCAGCGCCCGCCCCCAGAAGCGCGCGCGGACCTCCGAGGATTATTGCTGCTCGATGCCGTCTGTTCTCTTCGGCTCTCGGTCTCGACCCTTGTTCCTGCCCCATTCCCCCTCCCGACTGAGGGATCAGAGGGATGTGCCAAATCCCCGAGGCCAGGAGGCACGAAGATTCGCCTGCGGCGTACCCAACCCTCCCTAAACACGAGGCGGCGACAGGCAGGAGCTCACAGAAGTGGCGACGGCTGCGCAGTTGGCAGTCCTCCAGGGAGCACGAGGTCGTGTCTGAATCTGCGTGGTGCACCACTCCGCTGGACTTCCCAGGCACCCGCGAAAATGGCGATGCTTGCGCAGTAGGCAGACCCAGAGAGGCGAGCTGTCATTCGGGTGCACGCGGCGCGGCGCTGCGCTAGATTCCCAGGAGCCCGCGGAAGTGGCGCTCCTTGCGCAGCTGGCAGCCCCCCAGGGGGCGAGCTATCTTCTGGGTGCGAGCGGCGCGCTGCCTCGCTGGAACTCCCAGGGGCCCACGAGCGTGGCGAGAGCTGTGCAATTGAGGACAAGAAGCAGCGGTCACGGAGGCATAGGGGAGGAGGCGGGGAAAGGCGGAGAAGGTCGCGCCAGCGGCGCTCTGTTCAATACAAGTGCATACCTCAACCGCGGGAGAGTGAGGGCAGAAAACCAAACCTGGACCCTCGATCCCCCACCTCCTCCTCGACCCTCCTCCTCCTCCTCCTCCTCCTCCTCCTCCTCCTCCTCCTCCTCCTCCTCCTCCTCCTCCTCCTCCTCCTCCTCCTCCTCCTCCTCCTCCTCCTCCTCCTCCTCCTCCTCCTCCTCCTCCCCCACCTCCTCCTCGACCCTCCTCCTCCCCCCTCCAAGAACGGGAAGGAGCGGCGCCAGGGGCGCCACCAAAGGGGGTCTCCAGCGCCAACCCCGGAAAGACATGCGGACCTCCGCCGAAAGTTGATGCTCAGTGCAGTTCTGTCTTGCGCTGGTCCTCCATCTCGATCCTCGTCCCCTCCCGCCAGGCAAAGAGGCGGACGCAAAGGAGGGGCTGGAGGGAAAGAAGAAGCACGATGATCATGATCAGAACTGGACACGGAAACGTCGGTGTCGCTCGTGGCCATCGTCCATCTTGGTCATCGCCAATTCGTGGATCATCCTCGCAAATCGGCAGCGGCTGGAATGGACCGTGACCAAGATCTGCGTCGAACAGATCCCGCGACAGCTTGGTCCGTCCTGCACCACCCTGGAAAAATCATGCAACTCTCGCGCGCGGTCCGTCTTCCCGCGCCCCGCGATTTCAACGCTCACGCGGGGCGCCGCGCGACTCGATGCTCCTTTCGTCGTCCGCGGAAGGCTCAAAATTGAGATCGGAGGCCCCAGTGTCAAAAATCAGTGAAACGATACATTCATCTGGGGCTCCCAACTTCGCGCTTCGCGCTCCGCGAAGCGCGAAGCACGAAAAACTTCGCGCTCTCGCGCCGCCCCCCCAAAGGGAGAAAAGAAGGACGAGGAGGAGGGGGAGAAGGAACGAGGACCGCGAAGCGCGAAGCGCGAATGACTTCGCGCCCTCGTGGGAGCCCTTGATTCATGAACTGTCCAAGCGGGGGTCATTGCGGTCAGTCCAACCAGGAAAGGCAGAAGAGGGTGTTATCGACCCGGCTGCATGCAGCTGGTTCGGCAGCAGCATCCCGGCACTGGAGGCGCCCAGCCGGGTGGAGGCAGACATGAATCGGAGGCCCATGGCCGCAGGACTGAAGCCGAGGTGGAGGAGGAGGAGGTAGAGGAGGAGGAGGAGGAGGAGGAGGCGGAGGAGGTTGAGGCGGAGAAGGAGGAGACGAGGAGGAGGAGGAGGAGGCGGAGAAGAAGGAGAAGGCGAAGAAGGACGAGGGAGACGAAGGAGGCGGAGAAGAAAGAGGCGGAGGAGGAGGAGGCGGAGGCGAAAGAGGAGGAGGCAGGGCCGCCAGCGGCATCCTGGTCGTCGCCCGCGCCGGTGAGCCTCGCGCCGAAGTCGTCGGCCACGGCGCTCGTGATGCTGGCGCGCCGGGACTGCGGCTCCTGGGGCGGCCCGCGCGGCGCAGGCGGCCGCCTCCCCGCACCTCCTCCCTCCTCCCTCCTCCCTCCTCCCTCCTGCCTCCTCCCTCCTCCCTCCTCTCCTCTCTCCTCCTCCTCCTCCTCCTCCTCCTCCTCCTCTTCTCCTCCTCCTCCTCCTCCTCCTCCTCCTCCTCCTCCTCCTCCTCCTCCTCCTCCTCCTCCTCCTCCTCCTCCTCCTCCTCCCTCCTCCTCCTCCTCCTCCTCCTCCTCTCTCTCCTCCTCCTCCTCCTCCTCCCTCCTCCTCCCTCCTCCTCCTCCTCTCCCTCCTCCTCCTCCTCCTCCTCCTCCTCCTTCTCCTCCTCCTCCTCCTCTCCTCCTCCTCCTCCTCCCTCCTCCCTCCCTCCCTCCCTCCCTCCCTCCCTCCCTCCCTCCCTCCCTCCCTCCCTCCCTCCCTGCCTCCTCCTCCTCCTCCTCCTCCACCTCCTCCTCCTCCTCCTCCTCCTCCTCCTCATCATCATCATCAGCAGCAGCAGCAGCAGCATCATTATCATCATCGCTAGCTCGAGAGCGGTTCGGGAGCTAACCAGTTAGCATGCAGGATATCAGGAGACCCAGGTCGCGAGAGGGGGGCGCCAGGAGGCTGCCGAGAGGGCCACTAAGGCCCAGCAGGAAGCAGCTCTTCGGGAGCTACGCCGCGGGAACAGGCCCGCTCGCGGGCCCGGGACCCAAGCGTCCTGGCCTCCTCCGCCGTGAGCCCCAAAAAAGAGCCAAACCCCGAACCCAGTCGATGCCAGGGGCGGGCCGACGGCACTGGAATTTCGAATTCGACGCATTCGAACGGCCCCCCGAGCCCTCACTCCTACGGACAACCTCCGAATCCTCCAGGAAGGGCATCCAAAGGTCGATGGCAGAGGCACTCAGGCCGCCTGCGTCGTTGACCGTGGACTTCGAGCTTGGAAGGGGGTGGAGCCCCATCGCGATACCGTTGAGGTTCTTGGCCCCCGTCGAGGTCTTGGGCTGGCAAGGCCCTCGAGGCTTGCACCGAGACTTCGCATGCGACCCATGTCCCCACCGCATATGAATCCGACGAGTGCTGCAATAAATCGTGGAGTCCACCTGAGAACCATCCTCCACAAATTCAGCGCATCTAATTCTGCGATCCTTCAAGAGCCAAGGTTCAGGAATAAACGTCTGCATCCGCTGCTTCCATGGAGATATCATCGTCCACAGCCGCAGAGGCAGGTGATGATAGCCCAGAGATAGGCTCAAGCTCGATGAAACTCATCCACTCGAAACCCATGTGGAGTCATGACAAAGTGCGTGAGACACGTGGGACTGCTGAAGGCCGCCATATCTAGCCATTCGCTTCGTCAACCCATGACATCCCCCAATCAACGGCAGGTCGCCACCGTCGGCCCCTAAACGCGCGGCGCCCTCTTTGGTCAGCCTCTCTGCCTCTATGTTCCCGCGCCAGTCACGTTGCATCATCATCGTCATCATCATCATCAGCATCATCATCATCATCATCATCATCATCATCATCATCATCATCATCATCATCATCATCATCAGTATCATCATCATCATCATCATCATCATCATCAGCATCATCATCATCATCATCATCATCATCATCATCATCAGCAGCAGCAGCAGCAGCAGCATCTTCATCATCATCATCATCATCCTCATCATCATCATCATCATCATCATCATCATCATCATCGTCACCATCATCATTGCAGCATACTCGTCTTCTCCATCATCATCATCATCACCATCATCAGTATTATGATCCTTACCATCATCAGCATCAGCATCAGCATCGGCATCGTCATGATCGTCATCATCAGCATCATCATCATCATCAGCAGCATCATCATCATCATTGTCATCATCACCACCATCAACAACAACGGCATCAGCATGACCAGCATCATCAGCAGCGGCAGCATCATCAGCATCCTCATCCTCATCATCATCTTCAGCATCAACATAATCATCATCAGCGGCAGCATCATCAGCATCATAATCATGATCAGCATCAGCATCAGCATCATCATCATCATCATCATCATCAACATCAACATCCTCATCATAATCAGCATCATCGCCGTCGTAATCATCATAATCGTCATCATCAGCAGCAGCATCATTATCACCAGCAGCAGCATCATCAGCATCATCATCAACATAATCAGAATCAACATCATCATCACCAGCACCATCATCATCGTCATCATCATCATCACCAGCACCATCATCATCGTCGTCGTCATCGTCATCGTCATCGTCATCATCAGCATCATCAGCGTGAGCATCAGCATCAGCATCAGCAGCAACATCCGTATCTGCATCAGCATCAGCATTTGCATCATCATGACCACCATCAGCATCATCATCATCATCAGCATCATCATCAGAGCTGCAGTCGCATCGTCATCAGCATCATCAGCATTGGCATCAGCATCATCAGTAGCGTCAGCGTCGTCATCATGATCATCATCTTCATCATCCTCCTCCTCATCATCATCAGCATCGTCATCGTCATCGCCATCGTCAGCCGCTTTACCACCAGCATCATCATCATCATCAGCAGCATCATCATCAATAACATCATCAACATCATCATCATTGTCGTGGGCATCGGAACCCGCATCGTCATCGACATCGCCATCGTCATCATCGATATACTCATTATAATCGCCAACATCATCAGAATCAGCATCATCACCATCATCATTACCATCATCATCATCATCATCATCATCATCATCATCATCATCATCATCATCATCATCATCATCGTCGTCGTCATCGTCATCGTCATCGTCATCGTCATCAGCATCATTATCGTTATCATCATCCTATTAAATATCGTCATCACCATCATCATCATTATCACCTCCACCATCATCATCATCATCCTCATCCTCCTCCTCATTATCATCCTCATCCTCATCACCACCCCCCCCCACCACTGACCGTGTCTTCACCACCATGATCATCATCACCAGCAGCAGTATCATCACCATCATCATCAACATCCTCATCCGCCGCAGTATCATCCTCATCATCATCACCACCCCCACCACCACTGACAGTGTCTTCACAACAGTCGTCATCATCATCATCATCATCATCATCATCATCATCATCATCCTCACCAGCATCATCTTCATCATCAGCATCAGCATAATCATCATCACTACCATGGTCACCACCATCACGATCATTGCCGTCGTCATCATCAGCAGCATCATCAACTGAATCACAATCGTCATCCTCAGCAGCAGCAGCATCAACTGCATCATCACCACCACCACCATCATTGTCATCATCATCATGAACAGCATCATCACCAACACCATCCATCATCATCATCACCATCCTCATCATCATCCTCATCCCCGTCCTCATCCTCATCCTCATCATCATGGTCGTCGTCGTCATCCTCATCATCAGCATATCAATATAACCGCCATAATCATTAGCATCGTCATCACCACCATAATCGTTGTCGTCCTCGATACGGGGGATGAGGGATGTGTTTCGGCGGCACGCGTGCTCGCACGCGCGCGTGTGCTTCGGGCCCCGACTGTCCCTCAGCGTGTCGATCTCACCAAAGTCGACGATGGAGGTGTTCGACGGGGACGTCGGCAGAGACTTCTCCTCCTCGTCGCCCTCGGGGGGGCGCGGGGCGGATGATCGAGGTTCTTATTTGCCCCTCGTGGGCGTCCGGAGGAGCGAGGACTGGAGGCCTGGAAATCGGCACCAGCGCCGGCACTCGGCGGCGTCTCCCGACGGGGGAAGGCGACCCTGGATTTCAGTGCTGGCGGTAACCTTTCGGCCCCCATCGGAAGCCCGATTGGTGGCAACATCGCCGAGGTTGGGATCATCTTCACTCGTGGAAGGCAGCCGCCGATGTTGCTGTTGGCGCCAACCTCTGAGCCTCCGAGAAGAGAGAGGAGGTTGGAGGAAGGAGGCTGGAGGGAGGAGAGAGAGGGAGTGAGAGGGACTGAGGGAGGCGATGGGAGCGGCGGCGTCCTGGTGATCCCAGCAAGCCGCGGGGCAGCTGGAGAAGGCGGACAGAAGAGGCAGGGGAGGAGAGGGGGAGGAGGAAGGAGAGAGTTCTTTGCCTTAAAGAACAAGTGTACGCAGCAGGTAAATCCGACACCGTGCCTCTGGCACGAAGTGAAGTGGAGTTCCCCAAGGCTCACAGCTGTGCTGCTGCTGCAGCCAGGACTGTAATTTCTAAAGGGCCTGGACCACCAGTTTCCAGGGCGCTTCCGGGCGCTCTTGGGCGCTCCTAGGGTGTCCCGTCGGTGTCCCGTTGGTGTACCGTCGCTGGTCCGTCGGTGTCCCGTCGGGGTCCCGTCGGTGTCCCGTCGGTGTCCCGTCGGTGTCCCGTCGGTTTCCCGTTGCTGTTCCGCTGGTGTCCCGTCGGTGTACCGTCGGTGCCCCGTCGGTGTCCCGTCGGTGTCACGTCGGTGTCCCGTAGTGAGATCGATAATGAGATCGATAATGAGATCGATAGCGAAACCAATAATAAACTCAATCGCAAAATCAACGTGACATCGACAGTGAGATCGGTAATGAAATCGATAGTGAGATCGATGATGAGATCGATAGCGGGATATCTAGTCAGATCGGTGATACGATCGATAGTGAGATCGATAGTGATTTTGATAGAAAGATCAATAACGAGATCGATAGTGAGTGAGATCGATAGTGAGATCAATTGAGTGAGACGTTGGTTCCTCCCCTCCCCGAACCTCCTTCCGAAGGGTTGATTTGCAAGGTTTTCACGGGGGAGCCCCAAGCTACAACGGCACAGCAACTCGGAAAACAATTCAGGCCCTATGGTCTAATAGGTTCCCTTTTGCAGTCGACACGCAGAAGAAAAAGGGCACCGATCCGATCCTCTTGCGCTTTAGCACTGCACCCGGCCGATCCTCTTGCCAGCCGCTGTATTGGCTGAGCTAGGGGCCAGGATGTGGGTGGATTATTGTTGTCGGGCCTGTCTTAGGCGTGCCCTGTCTCGATCCTCCCATGTCTGTACGAGCGAAGTGTCGAGGGGATCCAGGGATGCCAAAATGAAGTCTCGGCACCGCGGACGTCTCTAATCGGTCACGTGTCGTATGACACGGAATCTTTCGACAAGGTCCATGCTGCACGCTGGACACACGCCGCTGTCGTCGATCAAGAGACGCACCTGCACACGCTGCTTATGAGCAAACTGGCAGTGCTGAAGGAGGGCTTCTGGGAATCAAGCGTCTTTCCACATTGACCGCACGGGAAATTGCGGGGCCGGTTGCCGCCGCCTGCTGGGCTGGCATGTCAGTCCAAAACGGAATCAGAAAAGTGCACCTGTCGGGCCGTCTCGGCACACTCGGGGCTGGTCATCATTTCCGCCGTCCTCAGGGTGGTCGTGTAGGTATAATCCACCGTCCTGCCTCCAGCACGAAGTGGAGTGCTCCAAGGCACATCAAATGCCAATGTTCACAAAACTAAGTTCAAAATATTTCAGTGCCCCGACCCCGCTTTCCCGGGTGCTCCTGGGACTTCTTAGAACTTCTTCGGGTGTGTCGCGTGAGGTCTCTGGACGCTGCCAATCCCAGGTGGTCCCCACGACGGTCCATGAGCGCCCCGAGACGGCCCAGGAGCGCCCCAAGAGCACCCCAAAACGCCCAAGATAGCCTCAAGACGGCCCGAGCGGCCCCCAAGACGCCCCAAGAGGGCTCCGAGAGATCCCTAAAAGGGCTCGGAGAGGCACAAATCCTTGATATGCTTTTGGCTTTTCAGAGACTTTAGCGTTCTCGCCTTCCCCGGCTTCCGACGCTCTAACACGGGCCAAGATCACCCCAGGAGCCCCTGTGGAGCACAGAACGCGTGAGGCGTGCCGCAGTGGGCGGGGAGGGCAAACGCACGCTGCCCCTGCCGTCGAAGGCGGACCGCCCCGCGCGGCACGAAAC